AAATTGAGAGTAGGGAATGTACTGCAATGGCCAGTGGGACCACTTACCCTGACCAGATTCTATAAACCATATTCCTGCTTCCCGAATAACTCTCAAGTCTTTTTGCTTAGAAAATTGGGGATAGGAAGACACCAAGATAGGCTCTTTCCTGGGAAATAGACACAGATGCATCCAGGTATGGCACTGCAGGAAGTTTGTTTGATAGGGCTTGAGAAGCATTTTGCAATATTCCCTTTGGCTGTGCTCCTGTGTACCTTTCCTGCTCCCACTTTCTTCCCCTGGATTATAATTATTAGGAGAGAGGGTTTGTGAAGGATAGTTGTGAAAGAATTTTTTTTTTTAATGTTTATCGTAGAGTTGGTCACCTTTTTTTCTAGGTAGTCATGCTGATCTGCTTATACAAAGCCAGCTAACCAGGTTCACCCTGCCATCCTCATGGAAGACTCCTTGTGTGAATAAGAGTAACAGCACAGGTTGGTTGTTCCTTATCCTAAATGCTTGGGACCAGAAGAATTTCAGATTTTGGACTTTTTTTGGATTTTCGAATATTTGCATATACATAATGAGATATTTTGGGGATGGGACCCAAATCCCAAGACAGAATTTATTTACGTTTCATACTCACCTTATACGCTTTGCCTGAAGGTAGTTTTATACAATATTTTCAATAATTTTGTGCATGAAACACATGATCTGTCACATGAGATCAGGTGTGGAATTTTCCATTTGTATTGTCATGTTGGTGCTCAGAAAGTTTCAGATTTTGGAGCATTTCAGATTTCAGATTAGTCCTCAACCTGTATTGAAATGAGGTCAGCGACAACCACACTTGCCAGAGGAGCCATGTTTTTGTGTGTCCCACTCTGAGCAACTTACCAGAAATATTTATGAGGGGGTTAGGGTTCCCCATCTGGGAAACCAAATGAAGGTCTGCAGATTGTTAAGTGAAATATAGAATCATAGAAAAGGAAATGAAGTAGTATAAATAGATCGTTTCATAGAATTAGAGTAGATTTTTATTTCAAGTAGTACTAGAGAATTTAATAAAAAGCATTATTGTTTGAAAAGTTTTTCTAATGTAGATTTAGTTTTCATTTTTAGAATGGACACACTACTGTACATTTAAAAGCAGTTACTTATTTTGCTATTCAGATTAATTTTTTATTAAATCTGAAAATGAAATTATCTGTTTTACTTTTCAAAGCTTTGTAAAACAAACTTGAAGTTATAGGGAGGTAAGCCATCTCCAATTCTGCAGGTCAAACAAAAGTTTGGGAAATACTTTGACATCCCATAATACAGAATGTCTTAACATGAGAACTTGGTTTCATATTGTTTGGTTCTGTTTAATAGTGGACACCACCCATCTCATGTTTTTCTCTGTTATCCTAAAACAGTGGAAGGTCAAGAGTGGGTATTAGGTAGACTTCATGGTCTGCTGTGATTTTAATGTTTGAGATTCTCACTTCCATTTACTAAAGAATCATGACTCTCTTCAAATTACACAGTAATCAGCAAAATTAATTGCTCTTTAAATTTTCTCCCTTCAGCGAGCATTAAGCAATGAGGCTGTTTTAAGATGTAAATAGTGAGATCTGTGAGTGATTGAAAGGCGGTATTGAAACTTGGATTTCATTCCAGTGTCAGATTTGGGTTTCAAGTTCCTTTGGTTCAGGGAAGGGACCAGGCAGCTGCAATCACCCTGAATCACTATCACGTAAGTCTCCTGAGAAGGAGGAAGAGGGTTAGGTTAGAAAAGCCCTCCCTGAGGAGGGAGAGAAGAGAAACTGTTGGAGATGTGTTGGGTTAGTGCCCACTTGCGTTCCCCTTCACCTCAACCAGTTAACAGCATTCAGCTGCTTTTTAAAGTTTTTAGTCTGCCCTAGCAAGGTCAAAGCATGTTAGACTTAGAGATGCTTCTGCTGGTAGCAGGGGATCTTATTTGAAAATGTATATGAGGGGGGTGGGATGGGAGGAGGCCAATTGTGATTATGCAGGAAAATCTAGTTCTAAAAATATGAGTTTAGGGGTAAGGGGTGGGATATGTAAGCAGAATCAGTAATTATTTTAAAATGAGCATATGTATTTTTATTAACTTTTAGTTAAATATAGATTATGACAACCAGGTCAACATAAGCTTAAATCTATATATAGAGCTAACTCAGGCATTGTTTTGTTTATTTGTAGACTAGATAAAACAACCTGTTCTGTTTTGTCAGTTTCCAGCTTCTTTGTTTAGAATAAATAAAACCAAAAGAAGAAACTTATTTGTCTTTGTATACCACAGAATTAAGTTATTGCTGTTAAAAACTGGATTTTTCATTTTGCTAGTCTCTGAGGAGTCCAGATGCTTGGTAGATGTTCAATAAAGGATTTTTAAATTGAATTTGTTTAAAATCCTCATTAACATTTCTAGAATGGCTTATTTTGATAAATAATGGAATCTTAGAGGAAAGTGGGTTTTTTTTTTTTTAAAGGCTAGGAAACTCCTCTAAAAATAATTTGAAACCTTAATCGAGGGCTAAAGTTTCAATCATAAGAGAAATGGCAGTGAAATAAAATTTATATGCACTTATAGTCCATGGTCCATTTTAGAAGGCCGGTGGGGTCTGACCAAGAAATGTTAGAGTAGTGAGGTTGGGGAAGGAAATTGTGGGGATTTGTCATAAATATTCTGTTGATGTTGTTTCTCTTCTGGGTCATGGTAAAACAATAAATTATCATCTCTAGGTGGCAATACTTGTATTTGTTTTTTGTCATCCTTAGTTGCACAAATGCACATGTTTTGGGTAAATAAAAAAGTATAATTTCAAAGTTAAAAACGAACTGCGACCCGTAA